GACACAACATCTTTGTTGGTATGTGGTGCTGAGGATCGAACCCGGGTCGCACGCATGCCAGGCGAGTGCGCTACCGCTTGAGCCACATCCCCAGCCCGACAATACCTACTTCTTAGAGTTGAGGTATGAATTAAATGAGATAGTATACATAGTGCATCTCTTCTATATGTTTGTATAAATTAATATATACATACAAAGATTAATATATACAAATGTTCACTATTCCAATGTCAGCAAAAAGCTAATCAATAAGAAAATCAATGAATAAGATACACACAGAAGGATATGCTTTGCATGGAAATTGGTACTGACTTAGCAAGCTATTCATAAAGTTTAATTAAATGAAGAAATAATAATAATATAGTTAATATTTATTAGGTACTTTTTATGTCTCAGGCACTTTATCCTATTATCTCATTTAATCTCTTTTTTAAAAAAAATAATCTTTACAACCTCTTACTGGGCTTGGTGATGCATGACTTGGGAGACTGAGGCAGGAGGATTGCAAGTTTGAGGCCAGCCTCAGTAATTTAGCAAGACCTTCAACAATTTAGTAAGACTGTCTCAAAATAAAAAAAAAAACTAAAAAGGTCAGGAGCAGTGGCACATTCCTGTAATCCCAGTGGTTGGGGAGGCTGAGGAGAGGGATTGCAAGTTCAAAGCCAGACTCAGTAATTTAGCAAGGGCCTGAGCAACTTAGCGAGACCCTGTCTCTAAAGAAAATACAAAAAAAGGGCTGGGGATGTGGCTCCATGGTTTAGTGACCCTGGGTTTAATCCACAGAATCAAAAAAAAAAAAAAAAAACAAAAAAGAAAAACAAAACTTTTTTTTGGGTGTGTGTGGTAAGCACTACTATTTTCTCTATTTAACAAGTAAGCAAACTAAGGCTATCAGAGATTAAGTCACTAGCCTAAAGTAACAAAGAAACCATGTATCAGATCTGGTCTTGATCCCAGTTGTATGGTTTAGAAGTGTATACTTTCAATTACTAAAAACCTACTCCTACTCTAAAAGAAAAGGTGTTCTTCTGGGTGTGGAGGAGCATGCTTGTAATCCCAGTGATTTAGAAGGCTGARGCAGGAGGATCTCAAGTTCAAGGCCAACCTCAGCACTTTAGGGAGGCCCTAAGCAACTTAGAGAGACTCTGTCTCAAAATAAAAAATAAATAGAACTGGAGTGTAGCTCAGTGGTAAAGTGCCCTGCCTTCAATTCCCAGTGCCAGAAAATAGATAGATAGATAAATGAATATAAGCTGCAGAAAAGTGTATATAATCTGATTTCATGTATGTGTTTTTAAAGTTTTATATGATTTCAAAATTCACAGAATATTTATATATGCACCTATACACAAACCTGTATGATTTATAAATGCATAGGTAAGTCTGAAAGGAGAGATAAGAAATTGCTAATATCATTTACTTATCTAAAGAGTGGTAAGGAAAGGCTGAAGAAGGAACATTTACTTTTCTACTTTATGAAGTTTACTGTTTAATTTTTAAAAATTGATCATGGATATCTTTTCAAAGCAAATGTTGCTACAAGAAAAAAATACATATCAGCAAAAAAGTCTAGAAGTGAAATATTTGGCCACAATTTCACTTTCCAATCTTTTCTTCCTATACATTAGGTAAACTATCAGCCAACATAGCCCTGAGCAGGTTAAGTGATATCCCTGTCATCTTTTTTTATTGTTTAATTAATTAATTTATTTTTTAGTTTTCRGCAGACACAACATTCTTTGTTTGTATGTGGTGCTGAGGATAGAACCCAGGCGGCACACATGCCAGGCGAGTGTGCTACCGCTTGAGCCACATCCCCAGCCCCTAAGTGATATTCCTGATAGTCCATACTTGCGTCAAACACATGCAGCTTCACATCCTGCACAGGCTGGGCACCTCTCTCTCCACCCCCAAAGACATAGAGCTGGTTTCCAATAGCTGCTGATGATGTGTGGAATGTTCTTGGAGATGGTGGGGGGCCGGTCACTTCTGGCGTCCTCCAAATCCTGGTTTCTGGTCCGGAGAGAAGGCAGGGTTCTAAAACATCCAGGCCAAGGGGACCTCTGACCCTTACTCCTTTTTTTGGTGTGTGTGTGTGGGGGTGCTAGTGACTGAACCCAGGGTCTTGTGCATGCTAGGCATGCACTCTGACACTGATCTACAGCCTGAGTTCTTGACCTCCAATCTTGGTAGGGCTAGGCAGGCACTTTATTACCCTGATCCTTGAGAAGGACAGCTGAGTTTTAGGTAAGAAGCTCAAATTTAGCTGAGCACCATGGTGCACAACTGTAATCCCAGCAGCTTGGGAGGCTGAGGCAGGAGGATCTTGAGTTCAAAGCCAGTCTCTGCAACAGTGAGGTGCTAAGCAACTCATTGATTCCCTGTTTCTAAATGACATACAAAATAGGGCTGGGGATGTGGCTCAGTGGCTAAGTGCTCCTGATTTCAATCCCTGGTACCCCATCCCCATGGGGAAAAAAAAAAAAGAATGAAGTTAGCCACACACAGTGACATGCACCAATATTCCCAGCTACCTGGAAGGTTAAGGCAGGAAGACCATAAGTTCGAAATCAACCTCAAGAATTTCATGAGACTCTGTCTCAAAATAAAGAATAAAAAGTACTGGGGATGTAGCTTAGTTATACAGTGCCCCTAGTTCAATATCCAATACCAAAAGAAAACAAACAAAAAACCCTCAATATCCTCTTTATATTATGCACTTTGTTGACTACCCTGCCCTGTGTTCATTCAGAGGAGCTCAAAATTTGCTAAAATTCATTCCAACTAGATGCCAGAGTCCAAATATGCCAAATTTCCCAGAAAATGTAGCCATTAAATAAAAGCAGACAATATTATTATAGTTTCAGTACCAATAATAAGAATCCCTACAAAATAATAAAGCAGTGCAGTGGTRCACACCTGAAATCTCAGAGACTTAGGAGGCTGAAGCAGGAGGATGGCAGATTTGAGGTCAGCCAGGCCAACTTAATGAGACCCTATCTCAAAATTTAAAAAAGCAAAACAATAACAAAAAATTTAAAAATGGCTGAGGATGTAGACCGTGGTAATGTATCCCTAGGTGGCATGCGCATGCACAAACAAACGAAGTACTAAATAAATGTTAGATTTCCCCTTTTACAGAGAAGGGAATTTAAGCAGAGATACATTAAGTCACTTTTATTTACAATGACCAGGCTAGTAAATGGCCGAGTTGGGATTTAAACTCTGTTTCAATAACACTAGAATCGGGCTGAGGATGTGGCTCAAGCGGTAGCGCGCTTGCCGCCCGGGTTCGATCCTCAGCACCACATACCAACAAAGATGTCGTGTCCACCGAGAACTAAAAAATAAATATTAAAAAAAAATTCTCTCTCTCTCTCTCTCTCCTCTCTCACTCTCTCTTTAAAAAAATAAAAATAAAAAAAATAACACTAGAATCTATGATTATTCTCCTCTTCTGACTTGAGAATAAAAGCTTGCCACCTCGTAGATATATAGAAGCTGCTTTCTTTTTAGAATAAAACATGAATTCTATAGAAATAGATGTATTAACTGAACAGCTTCTGTGTGTAAGATCATTGCCCTGAATATTCTGCCACTCCCAATATCCTCACTCACCCCTTGGAGATGGGTAAAAAGTATTTCCATTTTGGAACGAGGAAACTGAAGCTCAGAAACTTAAAATTCTGTCTCCCAGATCACAGCACATCTGAGAAGCAGAGAAGGAGCCTGAACTCATCTCTGTCCTATACTTGCTCCACCACAACATCTCAAGGATTAGTTCTGCTCCTTTTTTTTTTTTTTTGGTAACTTTTCATTTTTTATTTATTTATTTTTATTTTTGGTACCAGGGATTGAACTCAGGGGCATTCAACCATTCCCGGCTCTATTTTGTATTTTCTTAAATTTAGAGACAGGGTCTCACTGAATTGCTTAGCACCTCACATTTGTTGAGGCTGGCTTTGAACTTGTGATTCTCCTATCTCAGCCTCATGTGGCTCGGTGGTTAAATGCCCCTGAGTTCAATTCCTGGTACCCTGGGATTACAGGCATGTGCCACTGTACCCAGCTTATTTTTTATTTTCAGACAGACTTAATGAGACCCTATCTCAAAATTTCACTAAGTTGCTGAGGCTGGCTTTGAACTTGCAATCCTCCTTCCTCAGTCTACTGGGCCACTAGGATTACAGGCATGTGCCACTGCATCCAGCCTAAGGATTATTTCTTGCCTGGAAAATTCTATGCCTTTTGTAAAAGGCCTGCATCCAATATGCAAAATGCTGCACAAAGCATCTGCAATATGTGTGGAACTCAAACACGAACTTGGAGACTGAACAAATCCCAACCCACATTCAAAGCAAAATCTAATCATCTTGGTAGCTACAGATGTTGGACAGCTTTTGGGACTTGGAGTTAGAAGGTGCAGAAGTCAAACATCAACACAACCACAAAGGAGTCTTAAGCCATTTGAAGGGCTTGCTCTGGTAATAAAAGCAACTAATGACTCACATTTTCCATATTTCTTGGGCACTGTGTCAATTATACTTTCCAGGATAAAAAGGGATACAGTGAGAAAATCAATTCCTTTGTAGAAGCTTTCCAAAGTTTCACTGTGTTTTGCATTTGTATTTTTGCTACCATGGATTGAGTCCAAGGACACTTAACCACTGAGCCACACCCAGTCTTTTTAAACATTTTTTATGTTGCGCCTCACTAATTTGTTGAGGCTGGCTTCAAACTTGAGACTCTCCTGCCTCAGCCTCCCAAGTCTCTGGGATTATAGATGTGTGCGACCATGCCTGGCTCACTGTATTTTATTTAAAGAATGCTGTCACTGAGAATCAAAATGGTAGGTCCAGAACTGATTTCCATTTTCCAAAGCATACCTACWTTAACCACAACAACTAACAAATATTGAGAGTTAAGTCTTTGCCAGATATCAAATTAATTTGAACCCTTGTCAAATTAACAAGGGATGAAACATTACTATCCTAATGTGACAGAAAAGAAATCTGAGGTAGAAAGAAGTTAAATCACTAGCTCAAGGTCATGGTTAGTGCCCAGCAGAGCATATCCTGATTAGTGTTTTTGTTGTTTGTTTGTATGTTTGGTGCTAGGGATTAAACCAGAGACTGTCTCATGCTAGGCAAGTGTTCTACCACTGGGATACATACCAAACCCTTTTTATTTTATTTTGAGACAGGGTTTTTCTAAATTGCCGAGGCTGGACTCAAATTTGCAATCTTCCTGCCTTAGCTTCCTAAGTAGCTGAGATTGGTCATGTGCCACCACATCCAGCGTGTCAATAATATTCATAGAGAAAAAAGCAAAATTTTAAAAATGACAAAAAGACAAGTCCACCTCCCACAAGTAGTTTAGCAACCTCCTCCTGGGAGTGATGCTCTCAAATTGCTTTTCCTTTGATACAACTACCAGTGAGACTGGAAAGGGACCAGCCAGTTTTGGCTTAAAGAAACACTAACAAGACCTGAGGCAGAGTATCTTACCTTTGGTATTGACTGGCATTTTAGAGCAGTCCTGTGCCTCACAGGACATAAAGCAGCATCTCTGAGCTCTAACCACCTAGTCCATAGCTACCCTGACCCYAGCTGTGAAAAACAAAAATGTTTCCAGATATTGCCTGATCTCACTTGTGGGACATAAAAGTCCTCACTAGAGAACCACTGATCTAGGTAACCTGGGTTCTAGCCTGGCTCAGTTACTGACTCCCTGGTAACTTTAGGAAAGTCACATCCCTCTCCTTGGATCTGAGCTGCCCACTGGCRTAGGTGTTCTCTGAAGTCCCTTCCAGCTTGGATATTTAAGGAGTTGATAAATTCATGTTTTTTATGAAGTCAGAAAAGTTAAATGAATTAATTAGTTCAATCCAAACATACTGGAATTATAATTGAAATTATGTGTGYAAGATGAAAATAAACCAACCTTTGGCTACTTACCAAGATTCAGGACTTGGAGACAATTTCGATTTCCTGACTGGTCGGCCCCTCCAAATACCCAGATGCTGCCAGGTGTGCAGGAAGGAATGAAGCTGGCATGTTCGTACCGCGGCAAGAGGCCCCCATAGGTGGCTAAGTCCCACTGGTGTGTCCCTAGAAAACATTTCACTCAGTTCCTCAATTGGGGCTGTCAAATGCTTATGTTGGTTGGCAAATTTGGGGAGGGTAGTTAACAAAAAAAAAAAGGCCAATAGCACAAATGAACGACTATTAAGTCACTTAAGGGAATGGGGTCAACCTATGAGACAATTGATAATAGACACTTTGGGGGCTATCTGCCTGTCCATAAGCCCTAGTCTATGGAAACTATCCTCATTCTCCCTTCTAACCACATGGGTAGAGCCCAGACAAAATTTCTGTATCACTTTGACTTTCTAGTCTCAGTTGACTGAGTAAGAGGTAGCCAGTTAATCTAAATGGGCCAAGCAGGGAGGGAAAGAGAGAGAGAAGGGAAACTGCATGGTAAAGGAAGGAGACTCTTATTGTTATAGAAAATTACATATAAGAGGAAGTGAGGGGAAA